GTCAGGTACGAAGTGGGGCGGGGCGGGTACAACTTAAAATCCACCCCCGCCCCATTACCCATGGCGGGTATGATTTTTATCCCCATCCCCGCCCCACCACCCGCCAAACCAAGACCCAATCCTGCCCCAATGGGGCGGGTCTCCCACTTGATCCGCCCCACTGGCATTCCTAGGAACAGGGCGTCTTAAACATTTAGGAGGCCCAATGCTATTTATACAACTATGTGTAAATTTTGTTACTTTTTTTTTCACACAACAATTAAATACAATAAATCGGACTCTTTTTTTAAGTCAAAGATAGTACTGAGCTTTTTTTTTTTTTGTGAAAGACGCTTTTACTTTCATTATGGAGTACAATTTAAAAGAATAGGTAGTTTAATTATACAAATACAATGACATAAACTATATACAATATGTAATATATTGATGTATTAGATAGAGGAAATTATTAAATTTAGGGAAAAAATCAGCCAACAAAAATTTAACATAAGAAATACATACATAAATACGGAGTGCATGTTAGGCAGCGGGTTTGATCCCTGCTTCTCTAGGATCTCTTAAAGAGCTTATACCAACTTTGCCAGATTTACTTTGTCAGATTTTTGGGGCCGCAAGAATTGTGAGGCCCTGTGATATAGGGCTATTTGCACATCCTAATAGTCGTTCCTCATCAGGAATTCTAGATTATCCCATAATGATCTATTAAACTATACTAAAATGAATTCTTCATGACACTTGTTATTAACTTGTGAAAAAAATTTCCTGTCTTTTTTGTCTCTCATTTTTTTTTTTTTTTTTTTTTTTTGCATAATCTATTATTTATAAGTAAACTATTTATACCTTATGATATTATTTTTTGATTCCATTTTAACAATCATATTTCATATATTTACCAATCATATTCCATATATACCCAAATAAAATATTTCTGAATATCGTTTAAACACTTTATGTATTATTTTGTAATATTATTGTCAAAAATATTTAACAACCGTGCATTGCATAATATTTTAACCTAATATCAAGATTATATACCAACAAGAGTTGGCTAGAGTGGTAAGCTGCTTGATGTCACTTAAGGGAAACCTCAAGTTCGAGCCTGAACAAATGCAAAATACTTGTCGAAAGACCAAACCACAATAAGCCAGCTGTGTGGCCAGGAGAAGATCCGAATGTAGTCGGAGCTAAGTTTTGTGAACTAAGTGGGACATACTAAAAAAAAATCAAGATTATCATATATGGAGCACTACTAATCAACTAAGGAGCATTTACTAATTCTTACTTCTCCCATTTCTTTTTATTTGACTCGTTTTTTTAGTCACGTTTGTCAATGCACAAATTCATCCGTTAATTTCTTTAATTATCGATTACCAATAATTAGAAGAAGTTGATATTTTGAAAATATACATTGTGACAAATCTAACAGCAACCCACATGACTATATTTTTCATTACGTATAAATCAGAAAACAACGTCAAAGAAAAGTGTGTGAATAGTGCTAAAGTCAAAACGTGTCAACTAAAATAAAACGGAGGTGGTATTTAATACTCCCTTTGTTTTTTAAAATTTGTATGAGACCAATATGTCAAGATTTAACTTTTACAAACTAATCCAATGATATGTTACATAATAATATTTTGGGATTTTTGTCAGAAACTCCTATTATAAGCCATTTTTGTGAGAAATTATTTAAGGGTTTGTTCACATTTATTGAACTGAGCTGAATAAAACTGAATAGAGTTGAAATGAATATTTTATGAGAGAAAGAAATTAGGAGCTGAACTGAACTAATTGGAGCTGAACTGAATTAAAGTGAAATTAAGTTGAAGTGAACAATCCCTAGTAAAAAAATATTGTAAGAAACTACCTATTTAAAAAATGTTGTAAAAGACTAACCTTCACCATATTATTACCGTTGACTAATTTTTTTTTTAATAAAGGTACAGAAGGAATAATATTTTTAAAATTTCAGAAGGAATAATATTTTTAAAATTAAGTCAAACAGAGTTGGTGAATAAAGTGAAACAAATATTTAAAAATGAAAGAAGTAGTATTTTGGGTGGTGCAATGCACTTGCTATAACTATTATTAGTAAAATAATCCATAATATATTTTATAGCTTATGCTTTTATGGGTAACTAACCATTGAAATGCACCTATAAATAGTATAATGAATGAAAAATACCTGTAAAAAAAAATCTTTTTTCTTATTTGAAAAAAATTGTAAAAAGAAAAAATATAGGGAGGAAAGGAGTGAGGACTCATGACAGCTCAATTGTAATTATTTTAAATTTTATTATTACCAATTGTGATTACCAATTATTGTTCACATATTAATAACTATTTTTAATTAAATTCATAATTACAATTTTACAATCAAACATCCTTGGTAGCTGTATTTTTAGTCCAATTAACTTTTCAAAATCTTGTTTAAAAAAAGATAAATATCTTCGTTTTCATACACATATAAAAAAAATGCAAATTAATAATAAAAATGTAATAAGACGAATCAAACAAGATTATATGACTATATTATTTTCTAAAAATAATGAGAATTGACGGTTAAAAATTTTGAACTTCGACCCAAATATTAGTATTATACTACCTCCATTACATATTATTTGCAACGATTAGACATTTTGTCTCTCTACTTTATGTCAAATTGTTGCAAATAATATGTAACGGAGGTAGTATAACCATTTGTACTTAGAGCTGGTACAACCACATTTTTTTTTATTTTTGCTCAATTAAAATGCGGTTTAAATTAAAGGGAAATTATCAATGATACCCTTCAGGTTTTGGCTTTTATCAATGGTACCCTTCATTAAACTTTCATTATCAGTGGTACCCTTACAACTTTACCTAAATTGCTACAGTAATCTCGACATTAAACAAACGTTTAGTATGTTTAGTTAACACAATTAATGGGCTATTTGACACTAACTTGAGTTGACAAAAATACCCCCCCTCATTAATACCCCCCAGGCCCAAACAACACCATTTAATAGTTCCAAATTTTTTGATTGGGGTTCAACTTCTGTCACACTCTCCCCTGTTCTTCTTCTTCTGAGCAACCCTAACTGATGCAAGAGTGAAGGACGATCGTTGAAGATTAAGCGTTTTTCTGCAATTCTAAAGGTTAGTTCTTAATTCTTACTTGAATTTTTGGGAATTTTGGTTTAAATTGTTAAGTTTAAGGAAATGTATGTATGTTTGAGAAATGTGTTTGATTTGGTGGAGAATTTCGAAGTGGTGTAGGATTTAGCTCTGAATTATGCTCAATTTACATAGTATAACTACTAGGTTGCTAAAGTTTTATTCTTTTCATATATTAATATGCATAAGTAAGACATTTTCATAGATTGTGGGTACATGTACAGTGTAGCTTGTGATGTTGCTCAGTGTTTGCTTAAATTCTAATCTTTAAAGATATGTAAATTGGTGTTTAGTGTGTAATTGATGATGAGTTTCTGAACAAAGTGATTGTGTACTAATTTTGCAGAATGACTGAGCGTGATAGGGTTGTGTTTTGATTTAAGTATAAGGTGCATAAAATTGATATTGAAGTGGACCCTGATCAATGTAACTTAATGGATTTAGTCATAGAGTTTGAGGATAGGTTACAAAAAAAGGGAGTAGTTATACTTAACCCTATATTTGCTTATGCTTATAGAGGTAAGCACTGGTCAATAAATGATGATGGTGGCATACATAGGTTTTTCAGGACATTTCCACAAGCTAATGTGTATGAGATTTTAGTTGATACTACTATGAATTCAACCTACCTGAATGATCTAGTGTCTGAATTTAGGAGGAACAAAATAGTTGCTAAAAGAGCTATGCAAGAAATTGGACATGCACCTCCACCAATTGATGACCCACCACTTGTTAATGAACCAATTCTTGAACCTCAAGCTGAAAATGAACCAATTCTTGAACCTCAACCTGAAAATGAACTAATTCTTGAACAAGCTGAAAATGAAATCATTCTTGAACCTCCTATTGAAATTGAACAAGAAGCCAACCCTTTTGAAGCTACTCCTTCTGGGAGCAGCAAGCTAAAATCTAGGAGGAGATTGGTGCTTAAATACCAATCAGAACCTCAACCAACAAGCCCTGTCTCTTCTATTAACCCTTCAGTAGAAGACTCCGACCCTAGGATTATAAACTATGACCAGATGCTACTTTTATGGATATTTAAGACCTGTATGAACAGAATAGTGCTAAGTAGACTGAAAAAGAGTACAGAAGGGGGAGAAAGGAGTTTGAAAAGTACATGGACAAGGAAACGGGTAAGGGTAAGTGTCAAGATAAGGCTGAGGGAGAAGATGTAGGGGTTCTTCTGGTGGTAAAGCAAAGGGAAGTGGGAAAAAGGGCAGGGGAAAGGGCAAGGGCAATGGTAAGGGTAAGAGTAAGCTATTAGTTTTTGGTGGTGAGAAGTTACCCCCATCTACCATTTCCCCACACATTGTCTTTAAGACACTACATGTTAGGAGAAGCCCTAGGTTTTCCCCTATTCAAACTTATACCAAGCAACCCACTACTGTACTCTCAAATAGTCCAAACACAAGAGGTCCAAATCCAACCACTAATCCCACACTTTTTGGTAGAAAAATGCCTAAGAGTACAGCTGTTAGGAAAGGGCTATGGGTTAAGGGTAAGGGTAGAGGGTTGCATAAGCCAAATGAGAATGGGGAAGGTAGTCAACCAACTGCTAGAAGACAAGTCATTTTTGATGGTGATGGTGATGGTGGGGATGATCCTAGTGATTCTAGTGATTCAAGTGAGTCAAGTGAGGATGGTGATGGTGGAGGTTTTGGGGATGAGCTTGATGATTCAGATGGTGAGGTGATCCCAGATGGTGATGTGCCAGCAGATGAGAGGGAAGACATAGGACAACTTCCCACATTGAAGACAATTGGGAGCAGGGGTTCTAGTCTGGATTCATAGATGATGATGATGATGATAATTACTTCCAACAACTTTATGGTAATGGTGAAATGTATGAGGATGTGGGGTTTGGGAAGATTGTTCTTAGAACTTGGATGTTGTTCATAGACAAGGCACACTTAAGGGAGACTTTGAAGGATTATGCAGTCCAGGAAGGTTTTGCTCTGAATGTTGTAGCTGCAGATAACACCAGATACACAGTGACATGCTATGCTGAATGTTGTGAGTGGAGGCTGCATGCCAGTAGGTTAATTGATGGAAAAACTTGGGCTATCAAGAAAATATGGCCAGATGTACACAACTATAGGGGCTTGGAAACATATAATCCTATATGTACTGTGAAATGGGTTGCCCCAAAAGTAATGGAAGATATTAGGGCTGCCCCTGATATTCCAGGAAAAGCATTGAATGAATTGTTGTTTCAGAGGTATGGGATATACATGAAACAAGCTTACTTATATAGGCTGAAAAGGTATGTGATTCAAGAGCTGTTTGGTGGACATGATGAGTCCTACTCATTGATGCCAAGGTATGCTGACATGAATTGCCAGACTAATTCTGAGTCAAAGGCATTTGTAGCATGGCAGCTTAGTGAGAGCATTCCTAGAGTGAATTTGTTTACAAGTGTGTTTATCAGTTTTGCTGGGCAATGGAAGGGTTTTCTGGCTGGTTGCAGACCCTTAATTGGAGTTGATGGGGCTCATCTAAAGGGAAATTATGGTGGAATCCTCTTGTTTGCAGTTGGGTTAGATGGCAACAATGAAATTTACCCAATAGCACTTGCCATTGTGAGTGTTGAAGACAAGGAAAGTTGGTCTTACTTCTTCTGGCATCTGTACAACATAGTGAAGCAATCCAACAGGCAACATTGGACAATTATATCTGACAGACAAAAGGTAAACATTTTACTTACACTAACACTATTAGCATTATATTACTTGCATTATATTACTTGCACTAACATTATACTTGTAATATAGTACTTGCACTAACATTACTTGCATTAACAGAGGGTTGATCTAGCCCTAAAAGATGTATGGCCTGATGCCAAGAGGAGGTACTGCTGCAGACACTTGAGCAGGAACTACAAGAAAGAATTCCCAGTCTCTTTGATGTACACACTATTCTGGAGGGCATGCAATGCAACCAACAAGTTCACTTTCAGGAAAGCAATGGAGAGATTGCAGAAGGAAGGAGGAGAGGATGTTATGGTGTGGTTTGCAAACTTAGGTGATCAATCAAAATGGAGCAAGCACAAATTTAATCCTAATGTATGAAATGACTCAAACACCTCTAAATTTGTGGAGAGTTTTAACTCCACTTTGGGAGTTGACAGGTGCAGACCTGTTTTGACACTTCTTGAAGGTATACTTTTTTTTTTTTGTTTTTTTTTTCAGTTAAGACACAAATCGTATGGTTAGATTTACTTATGCATCTTATATGGTTGATTGGCAGGGATTAGAAGAGTGTGTATGGTGAGGATTGCTTCAAGGCATGAAAGAGCACAAGGCTGGGAGGATAATGACTTATGCCCCAAAATTGCAAAGTTGGTCAGGGACATTAGCAAAGCAACCTCTACCTGCAGAGCCTTCCAGTCAAGTCCAGGTGAATATGAGATACATGAGGGGAGGTCTCAGTTCCCTCTAAACCTAAACCAAAATATATGCTCATGTGGGGCTTGGCAGGTGTCTGGTATACCATGCAGACATGCAGTGAGGGCAATGCTACATGCCAAAGTTGATCCCCACAATTATGTGAGCTCATGGTACTCTGCTAGAACCTACAAGCAAGTGTACAATTTTGTGATTCACCCAATTCCCGATTCAAGTCAATGGCCACCTGTTGATGCTACCCACCCTCAGCACATCCACCCACCAAAAATGAAGAGAGGTGTAGGAAGGCCAAGTAGAAACAGGAAAAGAGAAGAGGGTGAAGACCAACCAGGGAAGAGGTCTAGAATAGTCAGATGCAGCAACTGTGGGAATTTAGGCCACAACAAAGCAACTTGCAAGGGTGGTTTGACTGGAAAGGAGTTGGAGTCAGTGAAGGCAATGGTTGTTAGGAACACAAAATCAAGAGATCAGTCAAATGCAGCTAAGGAGGCTAGAGCTATGTCTGCTGCAACAAAGATCTCTTCTTCACAGTTGGCTAGCCAACCACAGGACTTGTCCCAGTCACCCTGACATCTGTTTGGATGCTGCAACATTAGGCTATTAGGACTGACTTTGATGTAATGAATCAGTTTTTGAACATGTTTTACCAGTTTTTATTGATGCAAGAACTTGTCTTTTTTTTTTGGGAAAGTACTTAGCTGTGAATGCTAGTACTTATTTGCTTATTAATGCAAGATACATTTCTGTAAAGTACTTAGCAGAACTAGCTTCTTTTTTGGGAAGCAATACAGCATGACTTGTTTGCATATTTATGTGAATCTGTTAGTAATTATTTGCTTATTTTTGTGCTCTCTCAAAACAGTAAACTAAAGACATAAAATGCAATATAACACGAAAATAACCAACTTCCATTAATGTCAACTAGAATTTCAGTACATCATTTTCAAACCAATATCTTAAAAAGGCTACTATTTTAAAGCCACAATCAACAACACCAAATACATCACTACAACTAATTTCACAACCATGTACACGAAATCAGCAAATTCATCAGTCTTGTGCATAAACTCTGTAAATTCTGCCCTTAATGCATGAACTTGGCCTACTTCTGCCATGGATCCTTGCCTCCCTCCTATGTCCCTTGAAATTTGGTCTTCACTTACCCACATAAAGAATTCACATACCCTACACTTATAATATGGCCTTCTAGGATTCACAATTGAGTTTCAAAACCTAATATCCGCAACTCTTGGTGGTTCACAATTGCAATTCATGGCTCTAAACCATGTAACTCCTCCATTCAAATTGCTTGAAGATGAAGCCCTTCTAGAAGAAGCCATTACTATAAAACCCTTGAAACCCTTGACAAAACTACAGAGTAGAGAAAGAAAGAAAAAAATTTCAGAAATTAATGGAAACAGGGAAGAGAGGGGTGAGGGTTATATAGGAAATTGGAAAGATATAAAAGGAGGGAAAAATGTTGGGATTTTTGGAGGGAGAAATAAAAGGGGCATTGAAGTCTTTTCGCGTTCCCCAGCCCATTTACCCTCCTAATTAAACATACTTAACGTTTGTTTAACGTTGAGATTACTGTAGTAATTAAGGGTAAAGTATAAGGGTACCACTGATAATGAAAGTTTAATGAAGTGTACCATTGATAAAAGCCAAAACCACAAGGGTACCATTAATAATTTCCCTAAATTAAACAAACTACCATAATTTTAACCAATAAATTAACCAAACATGTAATTTTAGTCTCTGTAATATATAGATAGAAAAAAAAAGTAATGAAGGTTTAATATCTTTTGACTTTGCCTTAAAAAAAAAAAAATCTTTTGACTTGGCTTTATAAAAAAAAAATATCTTTTGACTTAACAAAAAAAAAAGTTACTTAAAAAAAACACAAACTCTTAATAACATTCGATTTACACTAAATTAGAGTAAATCGGGCTGGTTGGGCAACTTCATCACCGAGAAAAACACCCACCACCGTCGCCACTGGCTGGGATGGCTTGGTATCTATCATTTCACCTCATCTACTTTGATGGTGGCGATGACTATGGCGGCGGAGGTGACGATGACGATAGCGTTGAAGGGAAAAATATGAGGACTTGCAGTTGGTAACGGAGAGGGAGAAGGGGGTTGAGGGTTTGATGGAGGAGAGAGAATTTGAAGGTTTGTTAATGGTGGAAATGTTTTTGTGAAAAAAAAAGGGTCACTTTTGTGAAAAAAAGGGTCACTTTTGTAAAAAAAAAAAAAAAAGGGTCACTTTTGTAAAAAAAAAAAGGTTCACTTTTGTAATAAAAAGGGATCACTTTTGTAAAGAAAAATGGTCATTTTTATAAAGAAAAAGGGTCACATTTCGCAAAAATGTTCGATGTACAAAAAATTATTGTAAATCGGGGGCATGCAAAAGGAGTTGTAAAAAAAAGGATTTTTCACCAAATACAACTGAGTTAAAGCTTAATTCACCATGACCAAAAACTTTCTAATACACCATGTACCACTGAGTTTAACATAAATGTCACCAAATGCCCTTAATGACTAACGCCGTTAACTCCGTTAGTCATTAAGGTAAATTGTGCCACGTGACTGTCACTTATTGGTTCTTATTAATATTATTTAATTAATTACTTAAATAAAGAATAAAAAAACTTAAAAAAAATTAAATAAATAAATAAATAAACCACCACCAACCTAGCCACCGCTCCCCACCCATCCAACATCCCTGCCCCTACCGGCACCACCATGTCTACACCCCCGCCACCGCCCCCACCGCCGCCACCAAGTCTACACCGCCGCACATCCCTTTCCCTTAACCACTATCCTCTCAAGTCCCACCCTAAAACTCAAAAAACCCTCACTCCGACGCCCAAACCCACTTGTCGGCTCCCAGACCCACCTTCCTCGAGCCGGCGAACCCTTGTCACCCCTCAATCTTCCAACTCCACCCCTTTCCCCCCTCTGAACCACCACCCCCAAACCCTAAAACCCCAAAATCAAAATCTAGGGTTTCGATTTTGGGTTTTGGGATTTTGGGTTCAACTGTGGGCTGGTCAGGTGCTTAGCGTGGTGGTGTAGTTGGTGCCGTGAAATGAAGGTAAGGTGTTGCGGTGGTTTGTAGCTGGTGTCGTGTGGTGGCGAATTGGAGGATGTGCGGTTTGTGTGGGTGAGCTGGGAGGTGGTGCGAAGTAGAGTCGCGTGGGTGGTAATTTGGGCGGTGTTCGGCGGCAAAGGGCTGGAATTGGTAATTGTTGCAGTTTGTATGGTGGCAGCAGCGGTGCGGCTGGAGATGCGGGGGAGAAAGGGAATTGGTTGCGTGGGGCTGTGATTGGGGATGGCAGGGAGGTGGTCAGGTGTTGGGTATGGTGGATCAAGGGAGAGATTCGTGCACCGGCGCAAGGCTGGGTACGGTGAAAGTCAGCGTCGACCCGGTGGTGGTTTAAGGCTGAGAGCAGGCGGCGAGGGGCTGGGCTGCTAGGTGGCGGTTGTGGGGAGGGGAGATGGCTGACAGTTGGTGGTGGTTTTATTTTATTTTTTTTAATTATTTTTGTTAAAGTTTTTTAATTAATTAATTGATTAATTATTAAAGTAAATAGTTTAAGTAAGAGCCAATTAGAGGATGCCACGTGTGACATTTAACTCTTCATGACTAACGGGGTTAAGAAAAAGGGCATTTGGTGACATTTATATTAAACACAGTGGTACATGGTGTATTAGAAAGTTTTTGGTGGTATATGGTGAATTAAGCTTTAACTCAGTGGTATTTGGTGAAAAATCCGTAAAAAAAATGCCACAACATAGTGCCGTACTGCCGTAGTAAGAGTAGAAAAACAAGTTGATAAGTCAAAGTCAACACATTCACATGATAACATACATCCAAAAATCACTGAAGTATTCCGTGCATTTATTTTCTTTTTTAGCAAAACTTTTAAAATAGCTTTTAAATTAAATAAATTCACACTACCACCCCTAGTCATTTAACCAGGACTCAATAGTGTTAATGTAACGTCTATAACTCTATTATTATTATTTCAATATTTCATTACTAATTATTATAATATTTTTCGAAATGGAAATAAATCAACAATATCTATCCAAAAATAATTATAAATACCATCTACTCACACACTAAAGTTGTCCTAGAGTGGCAAAGAAACAAACTCTTTGCTGCACAAATTCTGAAAATTATACTTAAAAAACATAAGAAAAAAAAACACTAGAGAGCAGAGAAATCATGGAGACAGTAGTCGAGAAAGAAAATGGTGACAGTGACAACAGCCTTAACGATTGGCTTCCGGTTACGTCGAAACGTGAGGCAAAATGGTGGTACGCTGCAATTCACAATGTGACTGGTATGGTTGGTGCTGGTATTCTGGGTTTACCCTACGCTATGTCTCAACTTGGATGGTACGTACATTTTTCCCTATGCTAATGTTTATTTTCGATCTCTAAGAAAAAAAATATTAATTTGGCTAATTGTTATAATTCTATTCACATATATCATGATAATTAAACACAGATGATATTGATTATATGTGAATAAATGTACAATTTATTGCATGTAAAACATTAAAATAATACGGAGTAGAATTGTTTTTTTTTTTATTATTATTTTATTTATTTATTTTTTTATTATTATTATAAAAAGGATTGACGAGTCAATAAAAACTTTGGGAAAAGATTTTGATTAATAGTAGTCCGAATTAATTTGGTTACGAAATAGAAGTTGAGAGTATTGAAGTGCACGATTAGGAAGTTATGTTCCTTTGCATTTATTTTGTTGTAAATTGTTAGCTCAATCAATCCGACAACTCGCCAGGCGATTTGATCTGAAGTTGTGGATCATCTAATTGTTCTCAGTGGCGATCTGTAAGTTTAAATCTATGTATATGTAGATGTATGGTTGCATCGTCATTCATCAAGTAGATCTAGTTTCACTATGTGCATTTAAAGTATTTTTTTATTTGTAATATCGTGTATCTTTAGTTAATTATGAAAATTTTACAGAAAATATGAAAATTGAATATGTATTACAGTTTGAAATACAATTAACGAACACTTTTTTTTTATTCCTTCAATTTGGCGGAAATCTTGTGGTTTAATTTGAGTTGCATGATAATAATTAAATGACGATATAATATGACACCTTAATATATAATAAGGTTGTGTGTATGTTTAATTTGCAGAATATGTGACACATTAATTTATTTTAGGGGTCCGGGTGTGACAATATTATTATTGTCATGACTTATAACATTATACACCTTATGGCAAATGATTGAAATGCACGAGCTTGTACCTGGTAAAAGGTTTGATCGGTATCATGAGTTAGGACAGTACGCATTTGGGAAAAAACTCGGGTTATGGCTCATTGTTCCCCAGCAATTTATGGTTCAAGCTGGATGTGACATCGTTTATATGGTCACTGGAGGGAGTTCATTGATGAAAATATATAACATTGTTTGGCCAAATGGACGGCCAATCAAACTTACGTATTTTGTCATGATATACGCATCTGTTCAATTCTTTCTATCCAACCTACCAAACTTTAACTCCATTGCTGGTAT